TCCCTCCACACCCCACTTTCTCTATTTTCTACATTAGCTGGTGGTTTCTCCGTCACTGCCGGGCTAATACTTTGGTATGTTTGTAATTTAAGCTTTCTAAGCTTGCTGTCAAAATAAACGGCCCCACCTGTGGCCAATATATCCCACTTGTGAGAGTGGAGTGTTGAGATTTATTCCCCAGCAAACAGAGCTCAGCCAAAGCGACACCCAAGTGAATTATGTATATGTTGTCTTTAAGTTTGAGGAGCAAGATACATTAATATAGTAGTAGTTATCTTTCTTTCCACTTATTATTGACCTCTAGTAAAGTCTACTATATCTCAAAATCAAACTCTAATCCAGTTCCTTTCAATTTTGCCAACACTTCATTCTTAAATCTCTCATTCAGTTCTGGAGTGAAGTAATTCTTCCAGTCTCCGACCACGCCCTTCCGAAGTATCGAAATCCCGCCATCTTTGGTTGAGAACCTTTCAGAATTTTTCTTCATTACACTGAAAGTGCACTGTTCAGCAATGCGGCTGATGAGATCATCTGACAACGGCTCGTTGAGGAAGTTGGCGATCACTCGGACATTGGAAAGTAGATCCTGGTGGAGAGAGAATAATTTTTAGATCTTCCCTGGTTACATCAAATAAAGTACATTCTCTTACGAAAAAGTGAGAAGATACGGGCTTCAACGGTTTGAGTAGGAAATATCTCCCACGACTGAAGCTTTCAAACTAAACATTTTGTTTACGAAAAAAAAAAAACCTACATTCTAAGATGCTTCAGATGATCCCCAAATTATTTGAACGAGAGTCGATTGACCTACTTTGGAACATTTTTGAAGATCTTTTTAACTCCCAAGAGGTATCAATCCTAAAACAACACATAAATTTTTTTTTTTCGCCTCAGTACTCAGTAAAAGGTACCCCAAAAGCTCCGGCTATGGACCTTTCGGGGCTGAACACCTTTAGAGATACCAAAACCGAATTTTTAAGCTCTAAAAGGTACGAGGAGCACCCCA